CAATGGATGCTCAAATAATCGCCGAAAACTAAATTCATGGAAAGAATCTGCATGCGATATTCACGTACAAGTGCATGAAGAACGTGCCTGTTTAATGCCATGCCGTCTGAAGAAACAGTTAAGTTCGAATGGATAAAAGCAATAAACAGGAAAACATTATCAGAAAAAGTGTACGTTTGTTTGGAACTTTTTCTTGTCGGTACGTCGACTGAAAGAAAGCTGTTCGCTAAACTTAAATTGGGATATGAGAAAAAGGCAACGCCTGTCGACGAAAGCTATAGAGACAAGAAGGTGGAGTCCAAAAACGAAAGCTTATTGACGAGGATGAACAATGTAACATGAATAATGTTAATGCTTTACAAATATTTTCCTCAATTATCATATAGGAATCAATATGCGTGTAAATAATTTAGTTGTATTTAAAGCCAGTGCAAGATTGTTTCCACCTAATCAGTGTTATATATGTAGGGGAAAATAATATATATATATATAGAGAGAGAGAGAGGCAAACAAACTTTTAAAATACATATTTACTGGTGCCTTAATATTATCATTACACACTATAGATTGAATCAAACTAAATGAAGCATTAACACATGAAAGTATACTTAGAACTAGGTGATCATCCTCTATTTCATCAACAATTCTGTGCATCATTTGTTTCATATAAAATGTTATTTATCTATCAATTTGATCCTGCACATGTTCCTCGTTATATTCTACATCAATTGCATATATTATCATCTGCACTTTTCCACACCAAAAGTTTGCATTTTTTAAGTATGAGCAGAACATAGTCAACTGTATTTGCAAATAAAAACCCATAATTTATTTCAGTTTTAATTTAAATTGGCTGTCTTCAGTTTTTATAACATCATATTTATCATTTCTGATAAACACATTCAGATTTGACCAGTTTGTTGGAAAAGGGCTTTTAATATCGAGCAAGGTATCACAATATATTATTCCATCCGGACTACTTCACAGCCAATTTTCTTGCATGGACACCTGCATTTATTTTTCCTGAACGTTTAATTCTATGGATTTTAAATAATCTTTTCCAAGCGACTCTTGTTCAAATCCATATTTCGTATGCTCGTTTCCTTCAAATCTGGGGTACAAATGTTCACGAATAAAATTAGTAGAATCTGTAGTTTATTTTATTGGAACTTTGGGTGCAGGACTTGCAGTTTATCCAAGTCTCCGTGCATCTCTCCACAAAGTATTTGCACTCTGATCACAGGTATATTGTTGTAGTTTGCCTTCTTTAGCTTGATCCTGGGCCACAAAAATCTTTAAAAAATTATAGCATTTTACACAAGGAGTCAAGATGTCCATGAGCCTCTTGTACAATTTCACTTATGTATTGTTTACAGCTGAAACTTTTGTTTATAGTTGTACCTTTAATGTTCAAAAGTGGCAATAATGATAACTTAGTAATCACATCTTTATATTTTGCATCTGAAAAGTAAAATAGTGTATTATATGTGCTAGGTATGTTTTCATCATCTTCTGCCAGTATGTTCCTACCACGTTTTGGCTACTGGAACTGAATAGAAGGGAGGGGGGCTTGGATCTATATTTCTTTTAGTTCATCGGTTCCGTGTTGCAGACTCATCAGTACGTGCTATACTCGTATAATTATTTCTAACTGCATGCTCAAGTTTCCATACAACTACTCCTACGTGACTGCACGAGCGTCCTTGTCCTGCCATGCTTGAGCACCATTCTTTTAAAATAGTCCCATCTTGTATACAACGAGCATACACTTCCGTTGCTTTTTATATATTCAGTGAGCCTTTCAAAATATTGTCATTTGGTGCAAAATTTGACCTACGTTACCACTTTGGAAGTAGTTGTAACTCTGCAAGCTTTTAAAGTTTTTTCATCTCCTGACCATCGACTGCCTTTGATATCAGATAGTTGTAAGTATCACCATACATAACGAATGGCCAACTTCTATATTATCGATCTAATTAGTAATTTTGTTTACGTCTAGGGGTTTTGAATAATCACTATCTGATTCCATTTCGGTGAAAAATAAACGATTTGTTAATAGTATGTCAGTTTGTTTACGTTTTCTTTCATTACTGCAATGGCGCCGGTAACAGTATTGCGTGTCTAAAACTAAGGGGATAACTGAAAAAAATACGTGTCTATAGAACAATACTGAATTTCGGTACGACGATTAAATGGATGTAAAATTGAAAATAAAATGCAAGCATATGATAGTTTCAACCAGAACGACACCCCGCGTGGACTAAACGACCAGGCTCTAGGATTTGTTTATTTGTTTGTTTTGAATTTTGCGCAAAACTACACGAGGGCTATCTGCGCTAGCCGTCCCTAATTTAGCGGTGTAAGACTAGAGGGAAGGCAGCTAGTCATCACCACCCACCGCCAACTCTTGGGCTACTCTTTTACCAACGAATAGTGGGATTGACAGTCACATTATAAAGCCCCCACGGCTGAATGGGCGGGGATGCGAACCCGCGACCCGCAGATTGCGATTCGAGCGCCCTAACCACCTGGCCATGCCGGGCTTCTCTAGGATTTAGCCTTCCCTAATTTTGAGCTATTCAATAGAGGGATTGTTTGTTTGTTTAGAAATTAAGCACAAAGCTACACAATGGGCTATCTGTGCTCTGCCCACCACGGGTATCGAAACCCGGTTTCTAGTGTTGTAAGTCCGCAGACATACCGCTTTGCCACGGGGGGGGGGGTCAATAGAGGGAAGGTAAACAACAGTACTCGCCACCACAAGGGCTCTGTGCAACTCTTTGAATAGAATAAGAGAATTGACGACCACTTTTATTGTGTGTCCACAGATGAAAGTACGGAGTATTTAGCGGCATCACGTTTCGAACCTTGTACTCTTCTATACTAGGCTTGGCACGCTAATCGCTATGCTACGCCCGGCTCAATGTATCGAGAAATATAAACTTGACCTGTTAGATATACAAATAGATAAATTGTTACGATTTGTTTTTGAAAAGTACAGATATTTAACATGAACGGCTTTCAAACGTTTCGCTATTTCATACTTAAAGTATTTTAGAAGTAGTTTATCTTAAATTAATCGCAATTTTAAATGTTTCTAGGTTCCCCGGATTTGTAACTCGTTTCAAACAAACAACAAGGGTCGTATGTTTTGCTTTGAACGTTGTAGCTTAACACACTGTTAAAACAGTGCATTAACTCGCTAACTATGGAAAGTTATCTTCCACTGAGTCTTAGTCACTTTTATATACACCTGGAAAAAAGTTAAGCACCCCCGTGTTTTTTTCAAGTGATTCAGATTCGACGTTCTTGCGACTGATTATAAATTACCATTCAATCTAAACGTGTTTATCAAATGAAATTATGCATTATTGGGCACAAGAAAACAAGATTATACACCGTAAAATAACTAATTTTTAATTACATATCATGACAT